TATCATTCCATTCACTTCAGAATCAATTAGTTTAAAGAAACATTAAGCATACAACTCTGAATAACAATTTCTCTCTGAATAAAGCTGAAATGAATTAATTCTGTGTTGACAAAACACTTTCAAAGAGGCTCAGCTCAGTCTTATTTGGATATCTATGTAGCTGTACACGAAACAGTCCAAAAGAATTTCAGGAACATAAAAGAATTAAAACTTTTAAATAGGACCTTTCAGCAAGATGGAGTTCTATAGTCGTAAACCCTGAATTTGTAACTCTTCCTGTTATTTTCCCATAACTAGATTAGCAGAAGTAGGCCAATTTCTTAGGTGATCTCCTTTATTTCACCTGTCTCCAACAGATTCTTCTGGAACCTTAGACTAGGACCACTAATACTAAGTTGCAAAGATGGAACAGAACATTTCATCATGACAAACTGTGGTTATGTTGACCAATGTGCTAACTGGCCTTAAAACTCTGATTTTAATTACCATTACAATTCTGTCAGTAACATCTACACCTCACATTTCTGTATTTCAAAGTCCGCACAAAGATTTTTATGAAGATCATTCATAAAAGCTCTAAGGTTATCAATGTCCGAATTCTTTTCCTTACTAACTAAAAGGTAGTAACACTTCCTACAGTGCTTGCCTTTGATGTGTGTTCGATAAATATTGTTTACGAACACAAACCTCTGAAAAAGGGGAATCAATAAGCAGCAAAAAGTACTGAGAACACAAATCCTTGGTTCAAAAAGAAATAATCCTTATTTTATCAAATTTAAGACACTGATGCTGGCATTTAAAAAAATTTTATCAGAAGATTTCAATGGAAGGGTCTCTTACACCTAGGTCACTAGTGTCAGCTGGCCGATGGCAATTCTAAGACTTCATGGACTCATTCCAAATTTGAGAAGTGAAACTAGAAAAATATGCATCTTGGAATCAACTTAATACAGTAAAAGCATACTCTATGAAATACTGAGGTGTTATATTTGCCAGAGGTGGGGGCTGGGGATAGGGGACTAAAATTGCATTTAGTGCCCCAAACCATTGGACATTAACCACGTTTCCATTTACAATGTTGCTTTAGTTCACCCAGCACTCAAGACAAGTTCAGCTTCCAGAAAAGGTAACAGCTAAAAGCCCAAGAGGTGTTCTTAAAGCAACTGAGGAAAAACTTAAAACTAAGAAAATTTTAACTGACTGATTCATCATAAAATTGTTTTCTAAAAAAATAGCAATACTTTTATAATGTCAAAGGTGTTTGTTTAATTTTGTTTTTAAAGTTGCCAATCCAATCCCTTAAAACAGAGATTCTTTTTTGTTGTTTTTTTTAAAAAATATTTATTTATTTATTTGGCTGTGTCGGGTCTTAGTTCCCAGACCCTTGTCCCCTGCATTGGAAGGCGGAGTCTTAACCACTGGACCACCAGGGAAGTCCCAAAAGAGGGATTCTTAACAGGTCAGTTAACCATCTGAAAATGCATACAAACTACTTTCTGTGTCCTCATTGTCTTTTGAAGAAAATTTATCAAGTTCTCAAAAGGATCCCTACACCAAAAAGACTAACAGTTGCTTAGAAAAATTGTTTCAACTGTATGTTAAGAATTTTAAAGTCATAAAATAGAATGCTATATATAATCTGAAGACCATTGCCAGGCACAGAGGTTAAGTTTGGTAGTTTGGTGTGTTTTTTTTTTTTTTTTGGGGGGGGTGGCATGCAAAGAATACATTCATTTACTCTAGAACAAATGAAAATAATGCATGTCCTTTATTTTAAAAAACAACTATTGAAGAGTTTCTTTAATACAAAACAAAGCGGTAAGTCTGATGAAGAAGATCCTATTAAGGAAAACTTTGAGTATATCACAAATACTTCCTAAATTTTATTAGTTGGGAGTTATCCAAAAAAGAAACACGCCTATATTTCATTCCCTTACATTACTGAATAAAACCAAAACTACAAAAACTGCAATACTTTAAACATTCTGCATCACTTAAACTTCAACGTTATTCCTGTCATGAAAGAGTCACTCTCATTTTCTGGTATCTAGACTCACTGCTATTGTGCATTTAGATAAATAATGCAGGCGTTCCAAGGAGGTTCTATACTAAAGCAGCCACACTAAGTTATGATCATTATCAGGACTTACTTGAAAAGACAGTTCTTTTTAAAGGAACGGAGGTGAACGTGTTAAAAGTCATCACTAACTGCTCACTTGATCGACAAGTTATTCTTCCAGTAACATAATAAAATTCCAACTTGCTCCACATTAGCAAAATTAAGTTCAGACGTGTTCTGGGTGTTCTAAGTCATCTCCTACTTTATGTTCTATAATGGCTGACCCCAGAGGAAAAATTCGAAGCAGCGAAGAAATTCACTGGGTGAATAATGAGATCAAGAAATTAGACAAAAAGATAGTGAAGCCAAAGAAGAGTTTATAACATGCAGAAAATCAGACACAAGAAACTACCTTTGCCCATCATATATCTAGATTCCCCCTGCCCACCCAAGCTAAGAATCATACAGATTCAAGATATTTAAAAAAGAAAAATAGGATGAAAAAACAAATTTGTGAAATACAGGTCTCACAAATCTCTACTACAACAGATGCCACAGTTAAAACAGACTGGAACCAACTATTTCATGATGAAAAAGATCAGTTAGAAGCCTATTAATATGTAAAAAGTAAAGGAGTTACGTTATGAAAAATTTAAAGAATGACTGGCAGCCCACTGCCTTCGGAAACTGTAATGCAAAATAGAAAAAAGAGTTTAACTTGAAAATATTGATAAATTATATTAAATGTTCAAGGACCCCCATTTGATAAGGGAGAACAGTAGTACAGAAAAGTCTGTGCCAACTTTTAACTGCAGCTGTAGTGAAACACACTAAAAGCCTTGTTTCACAAAAGCAGTGAAATAAAAAACAATGGTTTTAAACTTATCACCAGTGTCAACTGCTCATGACCATAAATTTGCCTTTTTCCAACGAAGAACTTTGGTATAAAAAGCCAAAGTCCTTTGCCAAAAGCAGAAGAAACAAAACTGACCAAAATTCTTACACAAGACTAAAACATTAAACCTGTTTAAGAATTTTCATATATTTTTTTACATGTCACAATTAAAGGTAAAAAAAAGATTAAGATATCTAACGCAACAAAATTGGAGATCAAACCATTCTTTTTAAATAAGACAAATTAAAAAGCAGTTAGTTTAAATCAGTGTATACTACAGGGAATCCTCCTTCCAAACTACCTATTCCAAACTGAGAGGGATCACCACACTCCCTTCCCAATTACTTAAGCAAAAATATTACAATTTTTAACCCATTATTTCCTTCCATGTACAGTTTGTTGTTGTTTTAACAAACTGCATAGGAATAAGATCATTCTAGCTAGTATCCATTTATCTTGACTACTGATTGTCCCAAACAATGATACTTTTTGGAAATTAAACTTCATTTCACTAAAGTTAGCCAGTAGATTTTGCAAGTATCTGCATCTGAGTACAGCGTATGGTGACCACAAAACATGAAGCATACAGTTGGTATACACGATATTCTAAACACTGAATACATGTTTTTAACTAGGTATTTAGTGACTATCAGAGACATGAATATTAAACATTCCCCTATCAATTCCTGACATTTTCTACAAAATAGACCCAATTTCAAGCCTGAAACTGAGGCTTCTACCTTTAGAGGAGTAGAAACTAAAGTAATTGGGTACTCCTTAAAAATACACGTAACTACATGACTAAGATACTCATTTAAAACTTTTGCCAAGATAGCCCCTCCCTTCAAAACAAACCAAGACTGACTCACAGCCCTATTTTACTTAATTTTGGAAACAAAAAATTAAATTAAATGAATTCCTAAGCACTCTTTTCCTCTCTCTGTTCCCCCACCATTTAAAGCATTCGACCTTCAACCTGTGATTTGCCCCTTAAAAAATGGTAAAATAAAAACAAAAACAAAAAGAAAAACCCCTCAGTATCTCCAAGTTATCTGTCTTGGAATAAAGAAACTACTGGATTCAGGAATGATAATAACCACTGTTCTAACATCCTGGAAAACAACAGAAACAATGTCTATGGTCGTTAAGGAGCGGTCCTACTCTGCGAAACCATCCCACCTCAGATGATACTTTTCATCCGTAAGACCACCCCCCCCCATTTGCTAGAGTTAACCATCTGAGCGAAAGGTTTCAATTTTGTGTCCCTAAAGTGGGAAACTCTCTCTACATAACATGTACCGCCCTCTGTGGATATTTCTACATGGGAGGCGGGGGGTGAGGGGAGCGGGGGCAGTAAAGTTGGTGGCAGGGTGAGGACAAAGGGCATTTTGAAACACCACTGAAGTAAATACAAAACGAGGACAGAAAGAGGGCTAAATTACAGTTCTCTCAAGTGGCTAATGGCAAGAAAATGCAGGCACCCTTGTTTAGCACCCCTAGGGTTCCTATTCTCCATTAACGCCCGCTGGAATGCGAAGCTGGAACCACCAGTATGCAAGAAGCCCATCAAACCCCCCAAATGTCAGGCCACTAGGCAGCCTCCGGAATGACAGGCCGGTACCCCTCCCCCACCCCACCCCAAAAAAGGTCCAATCCCATAAGTGCAGGTCACTCTGCCCTCTGGGGTAGTTCCAGCCGGCGCAGAGATGGGAAGACGAGAGGGGAAAGCCAGACCACCTCTCTTTCCGTACACCCTCGGCTGGTGAAACAAAACAAAGACCGCCCTCCTCCTCCGGTAGCCACTACCCTAGCCAAAGAGGCTTTCCTATTTCCCGGTGCAGTCTGGCCTCCCGCCCCCGCCCCCATGACAAAGAAAAGGGACTTGGTGAGCGAGCGAGGCCTTCCTGCCTCCACCGATGGGGGGAGGGAGCTGCCGAGGTGAGCAGCCCCCTCCGCTCACCCGCGCTCCCACTCTCGGCCGGGAAAACAACCGAAAGCGGCAGCCTCCACCTGGGGAAGCCTGGTCTGAGATGGGGTCGGAGGTACCTTGAAGTAGCCGCCTTCGTAGAGGGTGTTAGGGGGTCCGAAGATGGCAACCTCCCAGTTGTAGAGGTCGGATTCATCCACCAGGGTGATCCGGAAGCCCTCCACCGGCTCCTCCTGAAGGGATTTCAGCTCGAGCATCAGGGCCTTCTGCGAACTGGTCATCTGCTGCTGGGCCATCGCGGCGACGGCGGCGCCGGGCCGGGGCCCCAGTCCTCACGCACCGGCCGGGCCGGACCAGGCCCCTCCCCTCCGCTCCGCTCGCCCTCGGGCGGCCCGCACCGGGCCCCTGTCTTCACACGCCCGGCGGCCCGGACCAGGCCCCAGACGGCCCGTGGGCCGGCCCGGTTCCTCCTCACACACGACGCGGGCCGGGCCGGGCCCTTCTCCTCACACTCGGGCCGGGTGGGGGCAAGGTGGAGAGAGTTAGAGAAATTCGCTCCGGGTCCCGGGCCTCCCCCCCCCGGAGGGGGCCTCAACTTGGCGGGGGGGGGGAGAGGAGGTGGAAGCGGAGGAAGGCGGCGGAGGGCCGGCGATGGTGAGCGGACGGGGCCGAGCCGGCCCGGGAGCGCCGCGCTCGCTCGCCCTCTCGTTTCCTCCGGGGCCGCCGGGGCCGAAGGGCGCGCGGGGCCGAAGGGCGGGGGGGGGGGGGCCCGGGACGCGGGGGGCTCGCGGCGGCGGCGGCGGCTGCGCGGGGGGAGGGGCGACGGCGGAGGAGGAGGAGAAGAGCAAGAGCGCCTCGCGCCGCGGGAGCGACGGAGCCGAGAAGAAGGAGGGAGGGAGAGTGGGAGGAGGGGCGCACGTCGGGAGGGAGGGCGGCTCTCGGCGGCGGGCGGCCCGACGCGACGCGCGTGCGCGCGCCCCTCCCTCCCCCGCCCTCCTCTCCCTCCTCCTCCTCCTCCTCCTCCTCCTCCTCCTCCTCCCTCCTCCCTCCCCCTCCTCCCTCTCCCCCTCCCACTCCTCCCACTCCTCCCACTTCCCTGCCTCCTCTCCACCGCCCCGCGCAGTGGCGGAGCTTTGTGACGCCTGGCGAGTGTCCCCCGCCCTTAAAGGGCCAAGCGACAGTGGGGGGGTCGAGGGTGGCAGTGGGGGTCGAGGGTGGCCGCAGGGGATGCCCTTGGCCCCAAAATGACGGCTGTGCGGCTTGACGCCGCGGTTCCAAACGCGCGCCCCGGAAGGGACCTCTGTCCTAGAGCTGTCATCGCCCTCCTCCCCACTACTTGTATCCACTGGCCTCCCGCAGTCATCCTACGAGCCCCAGATCCTCTGCAGGCCTAACCCCCCGCCCCCCGCGCCATGACACACAGTCCGTCGTCCCCGCACTCAGTAGGTGCTTGACAAGGATGTGCTGACAATGTGGGTTTTGTCGGTGCAAACAAGCTTCCTGACATCTCTTCTGCAGGTCCAGTCCTCATGCCATTGTGTCCTTGGAGAGCAGTGTGTCACCAACTTAGGGGGCTGGGGGGCAGTTTCCCATCCGAGAAATGGGGAAGGCAGATAGGTCAGTTAATACTTCCCTTCTTAACTACAAAGAGGAAGTTGTAGGAAATAAGGAGAGAAATAATAATACAGACTGAACCTGGGTTCTTGGCCCTTTTCTGTGTGATTTGGGGCAAATGCTCTAGCTATCCCCCAGTTTACCCATTTGTCAAATGGCATATTTGGTTGAACTTTGACCCCCTACAGATCTTTTCCGGCTTGAAAGTCCAACTTAGACCTGGGGGACTTTTAAGATAATCCTGGCAGAAGTGAGATGTAGAGGTCTTCAATCCCCATGATTTAGAATACCCCTTTCTCTTTGGAAGGCATGTCCTATGATAACTCCATGAACGTTTCCTAGAAAAGCCAGGATACTGTGAGAGTTCCGTACACTTAGAATTTGGGGATCAGAAAGATCCTTGGTACCAACCCCTGCTCCACCATTTACTTTATAAGACCTCTTACTTTTTCATCAGCTTCTGTAAAAGAGGGTTAATTGTGCCTAATAAATAAACAATTGTAAATATTTAAATGAGATCATCCATGTACAGAGTTTATCACTGGCATATGGTAAATGATCCATAAATAGGAAATTTTATTTTTAAAAAAATTTAAGGCAGGGCTTCCCTGGTGGCGCAGTGGTTGAGAGTCCGCCTGCCGATGCAGGGGACACGGGTTCGTGCCCCGGTCCGGGAAGATCCCACATGCCGCGGAGCGGCTGGGCCCGTGAGCCATGGCCGCTGAGCCTGCGCGTCCAGAGCCTGTGCTCCGCAACGGGAGAGGCCACAACAGTGAGAGGCCCGCGTACCGCAAGAAAAAAAAAAAAATTTATGGCAAAGTTATTTTCTGGATACCACCCCCTCCATTTTTTAAATAGACTTTTTTTTTAAACAGTTTTAGATTTATAGAAAAATGGAGAAGATAGTACAGATAGTTCCCATATACCTGGTACCCAATTTTCCCTATTATTAACATCTTACATTAGTGTAGTACATTTATTACAATTAATGAACCAATATTGATATATCATTTTTTAAATAAATTTATTTATTTTTGGCTGCATTGGGTCTTCGTTGCTGCACGAGGGCTTCTCCCTAGTTGCGGCGAGCGGGGGGCTACTCTTCATTGCAGTGCACGGGCTTCTCGTTGCGGTGGCTTCTCTTGTTGCAGAGCATGGGCTCTAGGTGCACGGGTTTCAGTAGTTGTGGCACACGGGCTCAGTAGTTGTGGCTTGCGGGCTCTAGAGCTCACGCTCAGTAGTTGTGGCACACGGGCTTAGCTGGTCCGTGGCATGTGGGATCTTCCCAGACCAGGGCTCAAACCCGTCTCCCCTGCATTGGCAGGTGGATTCTTAACCACTGTGCCACCAGGGAAGCCCTGATATATTATTAATGACTAAAGTCTTTACTCACATTTCCTTAGTTCTTACCTAAAGTCGCTTTTCTATTCCAGGATCCTATCCTAGATACCATATTTAGTTTTCATGTTTTATTAGACTCCTCTTGACTGTGACAGTTTCTCAGACTTTCCTTGTTTTTGATGACCTTAAAAGTTTTGAAGAGTACTAGTCAAGGATACTGTAGAATGTCCCTCAGTTAGAATTTGTGATGTTTTTCTCATGATTAAACTGGAGTTTTGGGGTTTTGAAGGGGAGATCACAGGAGTAAAATGATATTTTCATCACATCATATCAAGAGCACATAATATCAACACGACGTAGTGTTGATATTGACCTCAGTCACCTGGCTGACAGAATATGTCAGCCACTCTTCTCCACTGTAAAGTTACTCCTTTTACCTCCTTTGTATACTGTACTCTTTAGAAGGAAGTCACTCTGCACAATCCACAATGAAAGAGCCCCTTCATTTTGTTGTTGTTGTTATTTTTTCTCAGAGATGAGGCCTCAGTATTTTAAAGAATCATTCCTTAGCCTCCCAACTCTATTCCCTCAGTTTTGAGACTAAACTCCACTGGAATTAGAGCGTATTTTAGTCAATTCAGCCCCTCCTCCCCAAAGGATGGTGTTTGACTGGTTCTGACTTCCCCTCTTCCACCATTCAATTTAGGGAGATTGCTGACCTGGAAACGTGGGAGATGATGTTGACACTTTTAATAGCAAGGCTGTGAGTAGACAAATAGGCAGAAAGTTCATCTTCAAAGCATTTCACCCACATAGACTCATCATAGCCCCACCCTGACCCAGAAGATGGCAGATCCCTAGCCTAAGTCACTGGAACATACACCTGGCACCCAGACCAGAAGCCTGTCTCTGGACTCAGATCAACTCACAAACTCATACTAAATATTCACAATGCCATGACCCTAAGATGGGTGACTAATAAACATATACCTATCTAGGAAGCTCACAGCCTAGTGTGTTAATGAGTTGCGTACTTAAGACTCCATACTCACATCAGAGGAACTCAAATTCCATGGAACTTGTCTCATGGCTTTTTATCTCAGCGGGTAAGACGTTTATTTGTAGGTTACAACTGTGTCTTATTCATCCCTGGATCCTCAGCAACCAGCACACTGTCTGACACAAAATAAACACTAAGTAATTGTTCTCATGGGCTCACGGCCAAGGGCAGGAAGATAATCAGTAACAACAACAAATCACAAATTGAACCCCACCCTCCACCCCTCCCCCCGTGTCTAATAGGGTCTCTCAGACACATGCTCAAGGTTATAAATTCCAGAAGGACAACAGATCTTTCTCATAACCATATACAAGCTACTATAATGTTTGGTGCATAGTGGGTACTTACAACACAAAGAATGAATGGCAGAGATAGCTTCCTAGAGCTTTCTTATAGTTTCACGACAGGTAGAGATTGACTTGACTGACTGGTGCCCTCTAGTGGCAAAGAAAACAGGACCTTCACCCCCTAATCTGTACGGCATCACCTAGTATTCTCCAACCAGGGCTCCTATAAAGAATCTATTACCTTTCTTCCAAAAAGAAAAGATGTGGAAATCTTGGTGAAATAACTGAGAGAGAGGGTTATTTGCTTTATAAAGGTTAATTCTGACCTTATAGAATGACTTTTTTTTTTTGGCCATGCTGCTTGGCTTGCAGGATCTCAGTTCCCCAACCGGGATTGAACCCGGGCCATGCAGTAAAAGCCCAGAATCCTAACCAGTAGGGCTCCAGGGAACTCCCTAGAATGACTTTTTTAAAAGAGTCCACCGTTTTTGTTTTTGTTTTTCATTCTGCATATGTTAATACATGTAAGTTTTGAATAGTGCTCTTAAGGAGCCCCAGTCTTCCTTTGATAACAACAGCTAACATTTGTTATGCATCAGTATGTGACAGGCTCTGCACATGCAGTAAACCTCATTTAATTCTCACAAAAATCCTCGACATGGTCATTACTAGAATATCTAAATCTTAGGGAGGTTAAGAAAGTTACTCAAGGTCACCCAGTGAGTGAATGGCAGAACCTGAAGTTGAACCTTGGCCATCCCACTTTTGTGTGACTGCTTTTAACCACCATGCTGTAATGTTAGTGTGACTGCTTTTAACCACCATGCTGTAATGTTCCTAGTCTAATGTGCCCACAGCAATCTGTACATATCATATCACCCCCGTGCTCTACTGCAACTATTTGTTTACATTTTTCTCCCAGCCTGTGAGTTGCTCTTAAGAAAGAGCCATTTGGGCTTCCCTGGTGGCGCAGTGGTTGAGAGTCCACCTGCCGATGCAGGGGACACCCGGTCCGGGAAGATCCCACATGCCGCAGAGCGGCTGGGCCCGTGAGCCATGGCCACTGAGTCTGCGCGTCCGGAACCTGTGCTCCGCAATGGGAGAGGCCACAACAGGGAGAGGCCCGCATACCGCAAAAAAAAGAGAAAGAGCCATTCATTCATTCAACAAATATTTATTGAGGGCCTGCTATGTGACAGGCCCTGTGCTAAATGCCAAGGATACAGTAGTGAATGAGACACAAATGACTGGGTCCTGCCCTCATGGAGCTGACATTCTAGTGATTGAGACAGAAACAGACAAAAACAAGAAATTAGTAGACAAATAACATTGCAAGTTTTGGTGAGTACTAATGAAGGTGATTGGGGGGGCTAAGATGGAAACTGTTGGGGTGGATGCAATGTTAAAAGGAGGCAGGGGCTTCCCTGGTGGCGCAGTGGTTGAGAGTCCGCCTGCTGAAGCAGGGGACATGGGTTCGTGCCCTGGTCCAGGAAG